TGGACAGGCAGTGTGGACAAGGCAGTGTGGAAAAACCAGTGTGGATAAGTAGTGTGGACAAGCAGTGTGGACAAGGCAGTGTGGATAAGCAGTGTGGACAAGGCAGTGTGGATAGGCAGTGTGGACAAGGCAGTGTGGATAGCCAATGTAGACAGGCAGAGTGGACAGAGCAGTGTGGACAAGGCAATGTGGACAGGCAGTGTGGATAGGCAGTACAGACAGGCAGCATTAACAGGCAGTGTGGACACGGCAGTATGGACAGGCAATGTGGATAAGCAGTGTAGACAGGCAGCGTGGACAGGCAGTGTGGACAAGGGAGTATGGACAAAGCAGTGTGGAAAGGAAGAAGGGAAGCAGAAAGTGGTTGTTACAGTGATTGTGCAAAGTCTAAGAATACATTCTGGTTTTGAGTAGCTCAAAATAAATTAGTTTTGGTCGGGAGGAGAAAGGCAGTGGTGACTCTAGCTAGCTTAAGCCCCAAATTAGGGTTCTTTTCTTTCTTTAGCATTCTTATAACTAATCTAAATGCCTGTCAGCAGAAATGATAAGGATCATCCCAATAGCAGGAGAAGTCTTTTATAAAGAGGAGGGAAAGAGGTGAGTTGAAGGAAAAACTGTAAAGACCTATCTATTAATAGAAATTCTGACTGCATGAGTTAAGAAATTCAAATAATTCAGTATGTATGTCCAAATGATTTACAAAGCAAAGCATTTTCAGATCCAATTTTCATTCATTTTATGTGGAGTTTACAGATTCCTATTGCATCATTCCAGTCCTTGAGCTGATAAAAAAAATTTTTTAATGCACACACATTTAAAGAAATGATTACTCAACTGATTTAGAAAAGCAGTTCTTATGACTATTTTTTCTTTTCAGTATCTTTTCATTTCCGGAGTCCTGGGTGTTAAATTAAATGGCACTGCCAGGATGTCCACGGCAAATGGAGTGAATTCACCAAATTGCAGTTGGTCAAATGGTTTGACTTCCGTAACTGGTTGAAATATATCTTTCTCTGCTGCTTGCTTCTTTTAGAACCCCTCAGCAGGTTGTGGGGGAATAGGAGACTTTGTGGAGCTGTTGGGAGGAACTGGACTGGACCCTTCCAAGATGATGCCTTTGGCTGACCTCTGCTATTCCTTTCACGGCCCTGGTGAGATGTGTCTTTGATTATTACTTACGAGCCTATCAAGATTCTTTAAATAAAACCTGATACTTCCTTAAATAAAACATCCCACGTTTTTTATACATGGGAAGGCAGGTTCCACCTAGAAAGCTTCCATTTTGTACATTGAGCCAATGTGAGGATTTTACATTTGAGCATATGTATGGTTATAGTGAATGCATTTTCAAAATATCGGACACTGGAAAAGAAACCTCTGAAGGAACACAGGTGCATGTTTAAGGTTGGCCCTGAGTAAGACCATGAAAAAGACAAAGCTTTTTTTGTTCCGTGCTCTTTCCGCCTTCCTGAAAGTCAGTGCTTTTGTCCTCTGGATACCAAAGAGTTTACTAACTGAAAACTATAGTTCAAATAGAAATGCCATCAATTAGTTACAATATAATAATATAATAATATCCAAATAAATTTCCTAAATATATGTGTATGTGTGTATTACTCGTAGCACACAAATTAAAAAGTGATATTCTTTATCAGAAATTCTCAGAACTGCTGAATGTCCCCAACTTCTAGGAGCAAAACCAGCTTCTGAAAGACTACTGCAAAAACAGAAATACATTCTAAAATCTAGAAGTGGTCACTGGAAATAAAAGACCAGGTCAGTGCACAGGATGCCCAACAGAACCAAATATTCTTTGCTAGGGATCAGTGAAGATTTTCCATTTGATTCTGCCCAGGTATGGTGAGGGTGGCTGGAAATTGCTGGTTTAGACCATCAGTACATGTGGCTTTTCTCGCCTCTTACTACATTCTCTGAGGCACTGGATCCTTCCATGCAGGAGGGCACCTGTGAGGAGATGCATTTGCACTAGGTAAGAAGAGTAGATTAAGGTCTAAAGACAACTCTTGCCTTAAAATGTAGGTAATTGAAGCCAGAGTAATTTTGGTACAGTTATGTCCAGTAATAAGTAAATACGATTCACATTAACGAAGGAAACAGAGCGTGTTATATATATTAAAGTTTAGAGTAATATCAGAAAAAGAATGACCTTTCAAATAATTTAAAGCAAATTAAATTTGGACTCCTCACAGAAGCTTAATCTAGACTCCCTGGTGCTTATATAAAAGAAACATAGGTTTTATATTTATTATGTATCTAAATTGGCTTTTACCTCAATAAGTATCTAGCTGTTTTACTTCATTTGAACCCAGGCACAGGCTTGTGAAGTACCTCTTATGCAATGATGATGTTCATGTTTCTCAGAATGCTATAGGCCTTATAGAGACAAAGTGGGGGAGGGAAAGATGGACAAAATTAAAATAGCAGAAAAAAATCATCGTAGGGCACATAAATCTTGCCTCAGGGACCAGCTTGACAGTGGAGAAATGAAAGAAATTTTAGATAAAAATATGTGAGTTTCAGTATACACTTGTTTGGTCATATCTGCACTAGAAGATAGACATAAACGTTGCCAGATGCTTATACAAATAATAATAAGATTGGATTTAAGAGAAGTAAGGATATCAAAGGCCATTCCATGTAAGAAGCACAGAAAAAAATGAGACTGAAAAGGTGCAGGTAAATAATAGAACAAACCCAAGTATATTCATGTGTATCTAAACTATGCAAATTATTTTTGTTTATCTGTAAAATAGAGTTATTATCTAGGCTCAGAAAATAATTATCAGGTGATTTTTTTTTTAGTCTATGTAATGTTCATCGGTGCACTCTGTCCTCTAGCCATGTCCACTAACTGCCACTTGCATCCTCAGAACTATGACAACCAAAAACTACACCTGCAAATTCCCAACCTGTCCCTAGAGGGCGGTACTGCCCCTGCTGAGAACACTAAGCTAGAGCAGAGGTGCATGGTAGACAGATTGCCTTCACTGCATTTACCGCAGAAGCCTCGAAGGTAGGAGAATGTGAAAAATGCAAAGAGACGTCTTATTGCCTCTGTTAAATAACAAAAATTCAACTGAGTAGATTTGAAAGATCTCATTGGCTTTACGAAATAATTCATGAATCGGGGAGCATTCCATCTAGCAAGTAGAGGGGTCCCCAAGGCATTGTACAAAATGGAAGGTTTTTATAGAAGGGTAGGACAAGAAATTTGGCAAGAGAAAAGGATTGTTCCAGGCAGGTCACTTTCCCTGAGGGGGAAAAGCAAGGTGTCTTATCCTGCAGACTGCCTCATCTTCCTTCGGGGGGATGGAGAGGGCCCCTGTGGCAGATTCCTTAACGTTGATGGAAAAATTCCTGACTGACTGGTTAAGGCTATTTTTCTAGGGGAGGTTGAAATTACAATTAAATTAGGTATTCAGCCCCAGTTTGGGGCCTTGGTCTCAGGGACGCCATTTTGGGCCTGCGATTTTCTTTTCAACTCCTCTTTCCAGCCAGTTTTATTTGGCTAACAGTGTTTTTTTTTTTTGTTTTTTTTTTTTTTTTGTTTTTTTTTTGCCCATGAGGAGAACTGAGTTCAATTTCAGTATCCTACAATTAATTATATATTATAATAACAATGAAAACAAAACGTTTCCCCTGATGGCAGGTGCATGGTTTAAGTATGTGAGAGGAAGATACATCCCCCTGCTTTCTTTGTGTTTAAATGATCGACAGGAACCACAGTTTATGTGGTTTCTAACCTGCAGGGAACCTTTTGCTTTTTCCATGAATTATAGCCCAGATGAAAATTGGCTGTGACAACACGGTGGTGCGCATGGTCTCTAGCGGAAAGCACGTAAATCGTGTGACTTTTGAGTACCGCCAGCTGGAACCATACGAACTGGAAAACCCAAATGGAAACAGTATCCAAGAAATCTGTTTGTCTACTCTTTGAATAACCAACCCCATGATGTACATGCTGCTAGCTAAGTGAGTTTTTAATGGCTGTTATATATGATTTTGATGACCAGCAAGGTAAGAGCCTTTCGAATCAGTCAGTATTCCCAGGCTTGGACACACATTACACATACACACACACACATATGTAGACACACACGTGGGCGTGCAAGCGTGCATTTATTTTTGTACCTTGCTTCTTTTTCATTTGTAATGTATAGACGACCACGTGGCAGCAGATAAACCCTCCTTTGCCTTTGGTAGGAAAACAGTTTTCTATAATTCTTTGGTATGCTACAAACCTGCCCTGATAAGGCAAGTGCAGAGCAATGGGCACTAAAAAATTGTATCTCAAGGGAAAATACGACAAAGAAATTAAAATGGCGGTGTTCAGATTCGTCTTAGAACAGAAAGCAATTAAATGTCTGTATACCAAAGTAGTTGTATCTGTGTATTTTCTGTATATTATTCTGTTTACAATAGATAGTAGTCGTAGCTGTTGTTTATTGATTTGTAATGTCTTGTTGCTAACAAAACTCTGGAGCATGGAAAAAAATTTTCCATCCACAAATACAAACATGAATAAATAAATACATCAGAATGTTGGCGCCTTGACATTGTGCTTTGTTTTCCTGAGTAGTCCCCTCCCTTATTACCATCAGAAAATAGTGTTCTCGTGTGATGCAGAACCAAACGCTGAGCTAAATCATGTTACGCGTCTTCATGCTGGTAGAACTGTGGGCCTCTACAGCAGAATGATTTAGAGCAGAAGGCAGAACTGCAGTGTTTGCACAAACAACGCTAACTGGTCCCCGTAGGGAAGCAGGATGCAGAAACCCCTTTCTACTGTCCAAGAAGACTGAGAATACATGTTTTTGTCACAATGGGGTGTACTTCTTTTTTTTTTATTTATTTTTTATTAGTTTTCTTTATTTTTGAGAGGCAGAGAGAGACATAGAGCATGTGGGGGAGGGGCAGAGAGAGAGAGAGAGACACACAGAATCAGAAGCAGGGTCCAGGCTCTGAGCTGTCAGCACAGAGCCCAATGTGGGGCCCGAACTCAACGAACCGTGAGATCATGATGTGAGCCGAAGTCGGACGCTCAACCGGCTGAGCCATCCAGGTGCCCGCCAATGAGGTATACTTCTTAACAAGGACAGCAAGGGCCTTACAGCTCTCATAGATGTTTGCAGAAATCTTAGGCCTTCTTTGGTACCGAGGGCAATTTACTGTTGACTTAAGACTTGTCCATGTTTGGCTAGGGACTAAGCATGTGGCCTGTAAAAGACAGGATGGGGCCAAAACTGAGGTCCTGAGCAAAAAAGGAAATACTCCTTAAGTGAACTCTTTACTTTGAATTAATGGATAGAAGCTACAAGCAATACCATAATTAATGGCCTGATTATGATTCCCAAAACATACATTCTTAAATTTTTTTTAAATTTTTTTTAATGTTTATTTATTTTTGAGACAGAGAGAGACAGAGCATGAATGGGGGAGGGTCAGAGAGAGGGAGACACAGAATCTGAAACAGGCTCCAGGCTCTGAGCTGGTAGCACAGAGCCCGACGTGGGGCTCGAACTCACGGACCGTGAGATCATGACCTGGGCCGAAGTCGGATGCTTAACTGACTGAGCCACCCAGGCGCCCCAAATTTTTTTAATGTTTATTTATTTTTGAGAGAGAGAGAGAGAGACAGAGCACGAGTGGGGGAGGAGCAGAGAGAGAGGGAGATACAGAATCTGAAGCAGGCTCCAGGCCCCAAGCTGTCAGCACAGAGCTCGACATGGGGCTCAAACTCTTGAACTGTGAGATCATGACCTGAGCTGAAGTCAGACACTTAACCGACTGAGCCACCCAGGCGCCCCCTGAAATATCTTTAATATAAAGGTCATTTTATAATGAAATGTACTGGCATCCCATACACTGGGCTTGTTAACAAAATTTGAAAACCAAGCAGAAAGAAAACTACTGAATGAGGGTGCTAAAAACACCTAGGATTTAGCACAAATTTTGGCTCAGTAGATATTTTGGAATGAGTGAATACTTGAGCAAATGAATGAATTAATGCCCGAATTGATAAATGAGTGGATGGATGAATAAATGGTAGGAGAAAGACTGGCATGAGTGAATAAATGCGTGAATGGATATAGTTCCTGGCTAGTTATATAACAAGACATCGGATTCCTTATTTCGTAGACAAGAAATTCTATGAAGTTGAACCCTTTTCTTTTTCACGGTTCCTTTAGCAACATAAGAATGAATGTAGTCACATCACTGCTTACAGTTTCTGGCTTTTAATTCTTACGATCCCCTTACGCTGAGTACAGAAAATGGTCTGAGGTAAGGAGGCAAGTATTTTACGTGGAACTTTGGACAACCTGCTTTTATTCCTCAGGGACAGTTTTCAAGCTACTCAACCTCGCTGCCCTAAAACGGGTGGACTGTGTGTGGCCCTTCTAACCCTGACAATCTGCATTCATTCATTTGTGGCATATTTTACTTCCAAGCTTATCACTGCGACAGAGCACACATTTTTTGAGAGGACAGCCCCTCCAGTGAACTGCCCAAGACGTTCTTTGGATATCCATGACTTAGTCTGCATTCCAAAAGGATGGGGCAGTTTTCTGGAAACAAAATGGTAGGTGAAATCTCTGGGAGAGAGTTACATGGTGTGTCCTCACTGGCACCTTCACTAAGTGAGTAAATGTTATCTGAAATTCTGGCCAAATTTGATGATCTAGGAAAGGCAGTACGCACAGTGGTTAAGGTCATTGACTCTGGAGGCAGACTTCTTAGAATCCCAGCTCTGCCGTTTACTTGAGCAAGTTACATATAAGTCTCACTGATCAGTTATCTTTTTATTTTTTTAATGTTTATTTATTTTTGAGAAAGAGAGAGAGAGAGAGAGAGAGAACGAGCGGGGGAGGGACAGACAGGGAGGGAGACACAGAATTCGAAGCAGGATCCAGGCTCTGAGCTGTCAGCACAGAGCCTGACATGGGGCTCGAACCCACAAACCGTGAGATCATGACCTTAGTCAAAGTCAGACACTTAACCGACTGAGCCACCCAGGCACCCCTCACTGCTCAGTTTTTAATCTGTAAAATTGGGGTAATAAAGGTACCTCCTTCCAATAAACATTTTTGTAAAGATTAAGTGGCTAAATGTATTTAAAGCCCAAGAACTAGGTCTTACACATGTTAGCTGCTACTTTTGTTATTTATTTCTTATAAGCAAACATGCCACCCTGGGTCCTCTATACTCTATGAGAGGTATTGGCTCTGTTCTCTGAAGGGTTTGTGCTGATTCACTGCCCTTTTTCATCCCAAAACATTTGTGAGGAAACTAGGTTTAATTTGGGTTCTTGTCTGTGGCTGGGAAGCAGAGTATAAAGTTACTGGTAACATTTGAGGGTGGATCATGTCAGGCCTTAACAGGTTCCCATGGGTTTCTCCTTATAGTTGACCCCTGTCTGTAGGTTCTGGTCGTGAAGGAGTCACCTCACAAATAATCTGTCTTGACTCTACCTTTGTGTGCAGCCCTCATCTCTGTGGTGTAATTTTCCTGCTCTTGGTTATCTCACTCTAGGTCTTGCCAGAACCTCCTCTCAGCCTCCCCTCCTAGCCCTACCTCTTCGCCAATACTAATTAGGTGACTCAGGCTCTGATACTGATCACTGAATTCCCAAATTCCTCTTGCCTCCATGCTTGACATTCTGAGCATTTGTTCTCCTAAGTTTTACTTCCGCTGAGCCTGTCCTGTCCTCTGGACACTTTTCTACCTCCTGCCCTTTTTGCCTACTGTTGTTGGCATACATTGGTCGCCAGTGACAATGGACTTTCAACCAGTATCTAAAGCAGCCTATCTTCTTCACCTCCAACCTCTTCCTGGTACTGTTGCTTCATTTAGGAGAGGGCAGAAATGCTGTGTGTTCACCAAAACTCACTACAAGTTTCTTCTACCCCCTAAATATACAGCGAGGCCATATTTCCCAGTCTCCCTTCTAGTTAGGTTTGGTCATGGGGCTGAATTTTGCTTGAAGGAACCTGGGTAGAAATGATGTCCAAGCCTCATGAGATCCTCTATGCCCTCTCTCTCCTCTGCTACCTCCTGGCAAGATAGCAAGATGCTAACAGAGGGATCCAAGACTATGCAAGAAGACAGAGCCATAGGATGCAAGGACCCCAGATTTCTGAGTGACCACGTGGAAGGCTGCCTATTGACCAGGAATTGGACTTGGTGTGAATGAGAAGTTAATTTTTATTTTTTATTTTTATTTTTTTTAATATATGAAATGTATTGTCAAATTGGAGAAGTTAATTTTTATTATGTTAAGTTACTGAGATGATGATGATGATTTGGGTATAGCATTGAGCGTTCCCATAGTTCACACAAGGGGCTTGCCTCAATGTAACTCTCAGCTCTTCCCTAATTTTCCTGTCAGATTTTGTTGCAACTCTCCAGACAGACCTGATCTCATTGTCTTCCAGAGAAAAGTACCTTGAATGCACATCCTTGATCTCATAAACACCAACATTTAACTGAAACGTATCTAACTGTATCGAACTTTTCCATATTCCTTAAAGAATCTTCTAAGAACACTGATTCTCAGATTTGAAAATTGGAAAATTTGACAGAAACTACAGAACATTTCCTAGGGAAAAAAGCCCAATATACATACGAACACACCTAAATTTCTGAGAATTTACGGGACCCTGAAGCCCATCCAAAGTTTCAGGATAAGAAAGAATCCCTGCTTCAAGAGTAAATAATGCCTAAAAGTAATTTCTAAACCAGTCTTCTCAAACCGGACTGCCCTCTCTTCAATATAAGTTAAAAACATTCATTGGTTAATCCAGGTGCAAAATAAGTCCATAATGGCACCTTAATGTTTCTGCTTTTATACTTAACTTTCTAATTTTTTTAAACGTTTGTTCATTTTTGAGAGAGAGAGAGAGAGAGAGAGAGAGAGTGTGTGTGTGTGTGTGTGTGTGAGCAGGGGCAGGGCAGAGAGAGGGGAAGACACAGAATCCAAAGCAGTCTCCAGGCTCCGAGCTGCCACCACAGAGCCCGACTTGGTGCTCAAACCCACCGACCATGTAATCATGACCTGAGCCCAATTCGGATGCTTAACCGACTGAGCCACCCAGGCACCCCTTGTATTTGACTTTCTAATTTTGCCTTTTACTACATGAGTTTTTATGCCCTCTACGTAGTTTTTTCTCAGGGAGGAAATACATTTGACACAGGACAATTTTTTGTAACAAAGATTGTTCCAGAGTCTTTTCTCTCAACTTCAATTTTTCTTTTCTTGCTATTTTAATAGGTGGGCGGTGTTGCCAGAGTTTGCCTGCAAAGTGGAATCTTTTGAAAGAAAAATAAAGATTTGATGGACAAGATTTATTGGTAAGCAGTTTGTGTGCTTAACAACACCTGATAGAGAATTGTGGCTAGGAGCGCCTGTTATAAGATAATCACGTGAAATTATATCTGAATACACTCTTATCTGTTCAGTGTAGTATTTCAGAAGAGAGATATGCCTTTGTATGTTCAAATAAGCAGATTGAATGGCTTCAGTTCTAATGGGTCATTTGTAATGATTACCACCCATT